AAACTACGGCAACCTCCTTCCCTACTTAGTTTTCCTCCATTAAATTATCACTATCTAACATACTAATGTTTCATTTATTTATTTTATCTCTCTTCCACCACAAGAAACTCAGCTCCATGAAAACAAGGATTTGGGCCTGATTGTTTACTACAGATCCCCAGTGCTTAAAACAGAGCCTGAAATCCAGTAGGTGCTTAGTTAATATTTGTCAAATGAATAGATGTAATTTCTGTCTATATTTTGTCAGATGAGCACTACCTTCTCATTAGGTATATGCACCTTGCTGTTCTATGATTCTTTATATGGGCATGGAAGCTTTGCTTTGAATTTCTATCTTGTCTTTTCAAATACTGTTGGTTAAGCTAAGGACTGTCACAGGAGTAGTCTCTTAACTATCTAGAAAGACCTAGACTAGAACAAGAAAACACTTTTGTGTCTTCATTTTGGAGACCTTTCCAGGTATGTCTTCATTTTTTCTTTATGCTTCCCCACCTCCTGATCTTCCTGACTCCATGAACACATTACTGAATACCTAAGAAATCTAACTGGATATCCACTCTCTGGACTTTATTTTGACTTGCCCTCCAATTCCAGATGCCCTCACCCAGTTCCATTGACTGGGTCATCTATCACGTTTTCCTTTGGTGAAGTGGACTCAATTAATTCTGTCTGACCATCATAGGTCGTTGGAGGAGTAGGCAAAGCAATAAGCAGGTTATAGATCCTAGGGCATTCACCTGCCCCAATTTACTTATGTGGCCACAGTAATTGTAGAGTTCACAGGAAACAAGGCATTTCAAATTATAGTCTACTTGGGACTTCCCTGGTGGTGCAGTGGTTAAGAATCCGCCTGCCAATGCAGGGGATATGGATTCGAGCCCTGGTCCAGGAAGATCCCACATGCCACGGAGCAACTAAGCCCGTGCGCCACAACTACCGAGCCTGCACTCTAGGGCCCACGAGCCACAACTACTGAAGCCCGTGTGCCTAGAGCCCGTGCTCCTCAACAAGAGAAGCCACCACAATGAGAAGCCTGCGCACCACAACAAAGAGTAGACCCGGCTCACCGCAACTAGAGAAGGCCCGTGTGCAGCAACGAAGACCCAACACAGCCAAAAATAAATAAATTTATTAAAAAAGCAAACTATAGTCTACTTAATTGTAAACATATATAACTATTGCTTTCTATGTGTAACAACTACCTAGCTAAAGAATTTAAGAATAGTATTTTGAGTCTAGTTTTCATCTAGTAACGTCTGTATAGATAGAGACATTTTTTTTTTTTTGCGGTACACGGGCCTCTCACTGTTGTGGCCTCTCCCGTTGCGGAGCACAGGCTCCGGACACGCAGGCTCAGCGGCCATGGCTCACGGGCCCAGCCGCTCCGTGGCACGTGGGATCTTCCCGGACCGGGGCACGAACCCGTGTCCCCTGCATCGGCAGGCGGACTCTCAACCACTGCGCCACCAGGGAAGCCCTAGATAGAGACTTTTGAAGTCATTCAAGTCACAGTTAATATCCCTGACATTTATTTGCATTTATAAGCATTTATATTTGCATATATAAATGCATTTATAAGCAACTCTGAATTCCTGAAGTATACTTGACTCTTCTTTTATCCACGTTATGGCAGAGCTGTGATTATGATAATCGCTATGCTTTAAAATCACAGGGTGAACAGCAACTAGGGAGCTCATCTGGTTTATCTCTAGCAGAACATAATCTGAATCATGCAGTCTGGTTTGTTGGGTTTTTTCAAGACTTTTGGAGAAGAGACACAATAATTTTTTCTACATATAGTTTGAAGATCAGAGATGAGGGGTTTTTTAGGTTTCCTCTCATAATCCAGTTTTAAATTCATTTAAGTATTTCCTTGGTGTACTACAGTCTTTTGCTTCTAGAAAGTAGAATGAGAAGGAACAGCTGATAAAAGGATACAAGAAGGAGCAAAGATTTAAGAAGCAAGGATGAAAGAAACCTGGCAGAGGGAAATAAAGAAGAAATATAAAAATAATTAAATGTTCCATTACTCTTTCATTTTTTTGATTTCCAAGAACCAGATTTGATCTCGTTCTTTTTTACAGACACTCACTACTTGAACACAAGGTACAAAGAGACTCAGGAATGACTAAGGAGTGCATGGTTGACTATTGGTTAACTGTGGATAAAACAAGTCCAGTTATTCATCAATAATATGTGTTCAGTCTTAATATTTTTAAATAATAATAAAAGCACATGGTAATAAAAATTCAGTCTATGTAGAGAGGTCTAAAAAGAAAAGGCAAAGTTTCCTGCCACATCTAGTCCTTTCAATCACTGTTAAAAATTCCTTTAGTAATTTTCTAGAAAGAAAAATTAAACGCATTTTCCTATATAGATATATGAATGCGTGTGTGTGGGGGGGCGATGAGGGCTGTGCATTTAAAATTTTATTACAGAAGAATAACATACCTCCTATGTGGCAGCTTACTTTTTTCTCTTTAAAATACGTTTTGGAGACCTTTCCATGTATCTAGTCATGGAAGCTCCATGAATAAGGAAACTTTGTCTTTTTAAGCATTGTACTCCCAATGCCTAGAACAAAGGTCTCACAAATACTTTTTCTCCAGAAAAAATGTGTTAGGTAAATGAATGAATAAATTAGAAAATAAGAAAAACAACTTCATTGTTTTGAGCAAAGGCATAATATTGCATTATTTAAATGTACCAGAAGTTTCCAGTCTGTTATTGATGAACATTTAGAATATTTTCAGATTTTTGGCTATTACTGTAGTAAACATTCCTGAACCTATCTGTTAAATCTTACACGTTTATCTGTAAGTGAATCCAAGGTAATTACTTTGCAATGTACTAGTTCAGTCAATTGCATTTTTAACTTTCACATTTCCAAGTAACACTCCTAACTGGTTGCATCACTTTACACTCTTATTAAAATACAATTTTTATTCTGGGGCAAACCACAAAACCTAAATGTTTAATGTCAGAAATACACATTCATAGAAACTACATATTCTTTCATCTACAGCCTTTTAATAAAAACTGTGTCAGATGAGATCTAAAAAAACTGAAAATCCTTGTGGCCTTGCTCAGCACTAGGGACATCATTTTACTCAAGGACAAAGTACTTGTTCCTTCTGGCCAGCTTTTTGGAACTTGGCCAAAATTCATGGCTAACTGCTTCCTTTGTATATTCTAATAATAAGATATAATTCTATTAGTGTCTTTTTGTAAAAAGCTCAATAACTGCACCTTTGTCAAATATAAATAATGGTTCAAGAGCATGCACATGTCATTGAGAAAGTATTTATACAAAGGAAACAGGTAGCAGTCCTGTAGAAGTGCTTGAAATTCTATCTCTCGGGCTTTCACATGGATTCCACTGCCTATTGACATTAAAATAAGAAAAGTAACCTATATGCAGAAAGAAGGTTGTATTCACATTAACATTCATGAAGGCTGAGCAGCTTGAGCCCTACACATCAAGTAGGGAATATATCCTTTGTTTACCGATGAGAAAATGTCTCAGTGATAAATGGTTACAGACAGGGGTGTCACAAGGGCAACAGCATACAGAACAGCTCCGACAAACTTAAAAAACATTTTTTTTTAAAAGTCTTCTTCTCCTCCAGTTCTTTTTGCAGATTGTGGAGCACAGTGCCTATCCCCTCAAATAAAAGAAAAATATTGCAATGCAGAATTCCTAACCTTTACTGAGGCACCTCCCAGAAAACAAAAACCACACTCTTTGAGAATAATTTGAAACAAAGCTTCAAAGGTTTCATGATGCATAAATATTCAGACATTCTGAAAAGAAGTGCCCTACACCCTGCACCCTGCCTGTTTGGGTCTAAAATGTATATTGTTATAAGACAGCACGGTCGTCAAAGTGCAAAGTCTAACGTCAACACTGGGAGACGTTAGGCACATCGTTAAAACGCTTTACACTCATTTACATAAATTCAAACACATTATCATACTCATTCAGTAAATTTCTGAGAAGAATCATATATGAGGTCACGAATTTGTCATTTTTCAAACTAATATCTTATTGACTCCAAAACTGACTTGGTAGACTTTCAGTTAATTTTCAAAACAAAATAAGTTATAACTTGTAGACAGCCTTGTCTCATTGAGAATAGGAAGCCTGGAACCAGGGCTCGAGGGCAATTACTTCCCGGGGCCTAACTCTAGGTGGCTCACTTTCCTCACCTAAAAACACAAAGGCTGAAACAACTGTCTCCCGCAGCCCAAGGGTTTTTTTCTCCAGCATTTTGTCTTTTCTGCAGGAGTCTAGAGGATTCAGCAGGAAGAGTTAGAAGCACAGAACAATCTAAAACATGGATGTCGATACTATGCTTTGGGGAGTCCTTCCCCATCACACAGAAACCTCCAGATGCAGAGCAAGAGGAAATGCACAACAGCCGCCGACAAATCCCCTGCTAGCACCTCCCCACTCAGTGTTTTCTAGCCAGCCTTTGCCAGCGCTGTGCGAACGAAGGACAAAGGCGCAGCCGGAAGGTCGCCCCGGGCCGCCGAGTTAGCCCCGAGCCTTGGCCCTGGATCTATTACTTACTGGGGGTGACGGGGCGGGGCCCAAGGGGAGGAGTCAGGGGCGGGGCTGGAACCGGACCCTACTCCTGGGCTGCGGCGGAATCTCTGCGTCTGCGCGCCCGCGTAGGCCTGTGGTTGGGAAGCCCCAGGTTCTAGGCTCGCCCCCGCGCCCCGGCCTCCGCCTCCTCCAGGTCCCTTCCCACCTCCGCCCACTTGACGCGATGACGCACGGCAGGTTTGCGGACGTGGCGGCGGCGCACTGCACGAAAGGCCGAGACGTTGGCGGCGGCGGTGACGGTCTACAGGGGAAGCCAAAAACGGAGGCTCGGCCATGAACTGGCCCGGGACGGCCTCCCCAGCGGCGGCGGCGGACTTGGTAGCCGTCTCCTCGTTGAGTCCCGCCTGCTAACGGGACAGGTAAAGATCGCGGTGAGAGGTCGGGGGTGGCCGGGTCCCGGCCGGCGGGGTTGGGCCCCAGCTGCACCCTCGCTGGAGGCGGCGCGGACCCCGCGGCCGCAGATGTGGCGAGGCACCTGGTTGGGGCTTGGACCCCAGCCCGCGTGGAAGAGACTCCGAGGCAGGGGAGACCTTCGAGACCAGCTCCACCAAAGCCCCTTGTTACACTGTCGGGGAAACTGAGGCTCAGAGGAAGGACTCCTACTTGCCCCAATCCCGGAGCAGCGCATTTCCCACCTAGACACACTACATTTCTCCTACAACTTCGTGTCTCTGTTGAATATTCGTTGACAGCATCTCGTCCACATCGTCCAAGTGTGATGGTGTAAGATAGAGATCTGAGATTTAATTCTCGCAGGGGGTAACAGGGAAAGAAAAAACAAGACGTGTGGAAAGGAGGAGGAGGGAAGTTAAGTTTTTAGAAACTGAATTGGCCCTGGCAGGTACAGTCCCTGTGATACTGTCCCAGTGCTGAGCTGGATTGTGACCTGTGGCCCTTTTATTGCTCTCTGCTTAAGGAATGTCAAAGCGAAACACCCAGCAGCATTTATGCAGCACGAAGGCGTTTGGGAAATCATTTTCAGTCAGAAAGTGAGCTGATGAGTGCTTCAACACGGTATCCATTGTGTTACTCTTGTCATCTATGTAGCATGCAGGCTTGTTTTAGTTTTCTGAAGGGGGTATTTGTGCTTTTTTTTTTCCTGCCTTAAGATAATTATGACAGGTGAAGAGAATTCAACCAGATGACTTGAATACTGGGTACTTTCTAATCTCTATATACTTGGCTCAGATAATTATATGCCTGGGCCAGAGTCTACCTTTTCGCGTCAATTAGGGACACAACCAATTCTTGATTATTCAGAAACAGACTACACAGTTTGTGGTATTCTACTGCCTGCGTTTCATTCCAAGCGGAGTGAAGAGATCGTGAAACAGATGACGTTCTAGTCTTTAAATATTATTTAGCAACATATCATGGAGGGACGTTGATATAAGTATCTAAAATGGCTTTGGGGCATTGCTCAGTGAATTTCAGCTGTACTAAGCCAGTTTGGGGTTCTAAGACCAAATTATCAGGGGAAAAACGTCTAAAGGGCAGCATAACTGAGTCAGTATAGCCATGGGTAAATCGCTGTATATTAAGTGGTTCATAACTTTTTAAACTTTTTGAGAATATGAAAACAATAAATATTATCCTCAGAAAAATGTAAATATGTATAAAATTTTGCCTAGGAATCCACAGGATTCACAGACATTCCCTACATTAAAGACAGGAAAGACTGTAAAATAAGTGGAAATTATCTGTTTTAGATGAAGGTGAGATACTCTACTCTTTCAACTTTTTTGAGAACAGAATAAAAATAAAGCATCCTTAATTTATTGTGGGATTAAAACAAGTTTAATCTTTAAGCTTGTTAGAGTTGTCACTTGTTAGAATTCCTTGAAGGAACAGGTGTGACTTTAAAACTGCTTTTAAGATGTAAAATGTGGTAGCTTTCTTTAGTTTGGTGGCTGTTGAGTTAGGAATTCCAGTTCAATAAATAATGTAGCTCTTGGGGGGACAGGTGAAATTATCGACTTAATATATAGCTATTAGTTATTTATGTTATCTGAATAGAAACCTTTGAGTTTTTGAAGCATTACAGTGTTGCCACAGAACAGAGTCAGAAACTGGTTTTCAAGGGTTCTATTCAATGATATGAAATAGTTCCCAAAATTTTAAAGTATGTCCCGACATAGAGAGTATGTAATCTATTGTCATGTATATTACAAACTCAGACTTTTGGAGTTGGTCTTTTTCGATTTTTTTCTTTTTCACCTGGTACTTGTCCATAGTATTCACAACTGGCTTTGATACATCATTTAGTCTTGGCTTCTATGGCACAACATTTTCTTGGTTTCCTCCTCCTCTGAACACTTCTTTTCGTCTTTGCAGTCTGATTTTCCTTCGTCTAGGTACTAAATGTAGCAGTTCTTCAAGGGTCAGTCTTGGACCCTCTTATTCTGCGTGCACGCTCTCTCTTCCTCCCTCCCTCTCTCCCTCTCTCCCTCTCCCTCTCTCTCTGTCTCTGTCTCTGTCTCTGTCTCTGTCTCTGTCTCTCTCTCTCTCTGTAATCTCATCTACACAGCTTCAGTTTCCACCTATGTGCAGATGAGTCATGAAATTATATCACCCAGACCTTTCTGAATTTGACCACATAGACCACTTGACTACCTGACATTCTTTTTGGTTGTCTTAAAGGAATTTACAGTCAGCGTCACCAAGCCCCCCCGCCCCCACCAAGCTCTTTTTCCAGTGTTCCACATCTTAGAGAATGGCACTACCATTTACTCAGGGATGCAAATCACAAGTCTTGGTGTGATCCTTAACTAACTTCTTCTCTTCATATCTGAGCCACATCATTAAGCCTTAAGTATTTTATCTCCCCAAATTCCTCTTACGACCTCTCTACTCTCCATCTTTCACAATAATTGAGGATAATCTACTATCCTTTCTTATGTGAACAATTAATATGAAGCTAAAACTGTGAATGTGGTAATAGTTTTTTATGTTCTTGTATTGTTTTTTGTTTTTAACATTGACAGACTTTATGGGGGCGGGGATCTGGTTTCCACCTGGGATCCTACCCTCTTAATATAGATAAGAAGGGATTTAGAAACCTTTGTACAGTATCTATTCTGGGCCCCCAGGGCAGGAAGGGGGTGATTGCTGGGTGGGCGGGCTGGAAGGGTGGAGGCAGGGCCCTTACCACCTGCATGCCCACATCCACCCTGAACATGAGGGTGGGGTGAGATGCTCTGGGAGGGATGAGGGAGTCCCCAGGCTAGGGGCAAGCTGGCAGCAGGGGCTGTGACAGGTAGCCATAGCTTCAGCAGCACTTGGCACCACAGTTGCAGGGCAGCTTGTTGCTGGCATCGTCAGTGGTGCACTTGTAGTCATAGGTGAGCTCCTCACCATGCAGGGTGCAGTGCAGGGTAGGTGAAGATGATGATGGGCTTCTGGCCCTCCACCTGGGTGACTTGAGAGAAGCAGTTGGGCTCACAGGAGTGGTTGATGACACGGGCAGCATTACCATGCATCGTGGCATCCCCACATCAAAGTCATCCATTCGGAACATGTAGCACCCAGTGCCCTTCCCATCGGAGAACTTCTCCCGCTTATTGTTCTTTTTTAATGAGGATAGATTAACTTGATGAAGGTGAGTTGAGAGTGAGTACACTTAGGTCAGCTCTCATCTCAGTCAGTCTTAAGATGTCTTTTCTTAAGTAGAAATGAATGTAGAACTTATAATCTGTTCACAATCTTTATAGACCATAAATTGAGTTTCATGAGGACTTTGGTAAGTTAAAGTTTGGTGAAAAGCTGCCAGGGAAGAAAAATCCCTGGTTGAGAGCAAAATTATGACCTGTATAGAAGGTACATACTATACTAAATAAAAATACTGAAATCAGCGTGATCCAGGGAAGTAGGTAGGGAGTTCAAAAGACAGTTCAATCCCATGGAACTTAAAATGCAGAACAACTCAGAAAGTTTGGGGTTCATAAAAGTGTTGTGTGTGCACATATAAAACATATACTTTGATTCTATCAGATCTGTAAATTGTATATATGATCACACGTTTTTAAGACATAATACAAAATTATTTCTGTAATTTTCTTCACATCCTCAGAATGGGGAAACTTAATTTTTTGACCTAAAAAAATATAGCAATTTGCCCTTGGTAAAATGTAATCATCACCATGTTTTGTGATATATGGTCTATAAGAATGGATTACTTCTTCCTCCCATCCCATTGTCTCCATTGCCAAATACGTTCATTGTACTTCAACAACTATAAAACTTGAACCTAAAACCATTCTTTAAAAAACAAAAGATAAAGTGTCCTGAATATAAGATTCATGTAAATTAGTCAAATGGATCAGCTACATTCCAAAGTTTTCTCTGCCTTCTTTCCCTACCAGATTTTGACATTATGGCAGGGAGGCATCAGAATCGTAGTTTTCCTCTTCCAGGAGTTCATTCAAGTGGTCAAGTACATGCATTTGGAAATTGTACAGACAATGATATGTTGGAGGAGGATGCTGAAGTGTATGAGCTTCGATCCAGAGGAAAAGAAAAAATCCGAAGAAGTACATCAAAAGATAGACTTGATGACATTATAGTATTAACAAAAGATATACAGGAAGGAGACACTTTAAATGCAATAGCCCTTCAATACTGTTGTACGGTAAGTTTTAATTTGATTTTGCATAATGCAGCCCCAAATAAATTATTCGTTCATAGCACAAAATTGAAATAAATTCTGTGCCCTTTTATCTTGTATTCCCCCCCACCCACTTTTTTGTCTTTTCACAGAAATCAGTATCATGTTGGTGGATGTTAACTTTTTAAATTTTTAAGTGAACACTTGAATTTCTGTTTATTTCTAAATCATGATTCTATTTTCAGATTGAAAAACACTCAAATGTGTTTATTTTTCTCCTTATTCAAGTTGTAAGGGAATGTAGAAATATATAAGGAAAGTTTTTTTCCTGCCCCAATTTCCTGAGATAACACACGTTGGTGTATTTCTTTCCATACGTTTTTTGGGGGGAGATATATATGTGTATAGTGATTTTTTAAAAATTGGTTTATATTATACCTATTACTCTGCAAGTTGCCTTTGACTTTTTCATTTCTTAGTATACCATGGATATCCCTCATAGCCTTATAGATCTAACTCATTATTTTATGTAGCTATATGATGTTGCATAGTATGGATGTACCATAATTATTAAGTTGTTCTCTTACTCATTGATAGGATTTTCTCCATGTTTTGCATTGTGCAGTGAATATCATCACAACTGGTACCTTATTTCTGTGAAATAGATTCTCAAAAGTGGGATTTATAGATGAAAGGTATATTTTTTATTTTACTAGGCATTAAACTCTGTTTAAATCCATTTAATGTCTGTGTCATGTCCATTTTGTATCCATAGCATGGAATCTATTTTCATGTAAACACATTGATATGGAAACTGTTGATATCTTTCATTTTCAAACTTTTTATTCTCATGCTTCCAAAAGAATTTTGAAATGTATATACTGTGTACCTCCTTGCACCTTTTAAAGTGAACATCTTAAATACATCCTGACTTAAAGTAGTTATAAAGGATTTAATTTCCAGAATGTTGTCAATATTGATATTTAAAAATAAGACTATTAGAATATTCTTTAAATATATGCATGGAATCCTAAATACCACCAGGATTTGCTACCTAAAATTATTCATTTAAAATATATATATGAGCTCTTTTTTTAGTAGCATGAAATTTTATATTTAAAAATTTTTTATATATTTAAAATTTTTTTCTCCTTGATTAATATTTTCATCCCCCCCCAAAATCTTTCATAGTATAAAATATTTTTATCTTGAAAACCTTTTATTGATTACCTGTCATAGTTCTCTCCAATAGAAACACACACATATATTGATAAATTTATATATATATATTATTTAATTTTAAAGTCTCTGATGACCATGAGGTTCTATGTATTATTTTTCCTGAATAATTATTGCAATTATTCACAATTGATCAAAACAAACATTATAAATTTTAATTTAAATGTTTAATAAATATTTTATTGAAATGCATTTCTTGATGAGGTAAGAAAGCTGGGTTTGGGTTTTTTTTTTGTGACTTGTTCATGTATGGCAACATTATTTATTGTTAAATCAGAAAATATCTGATTTCATTCTTTAATGCAAATAAAATTGTTAATATGTGTTCTGTAGAGAAATAAGACCACTGAGAAATAAATTATAGAATGTGCTTTAGAAGGATGATAATGGAAAGTAATCAAGACTTTAAAATTAGGGGCAAGACTGAAAATATCAAGGTGAAGATCTAAGAGAAGAGTGTGGTCCAGCAGCTTTATTAGAGAAAGACATTAGTTTTCTTTTAATGAGCCTAGAAAATTTTCTTAGAAAAAGAGAAATTTGAAGTGCCATCTGAATGATTAAAAATAGATCATATTTCCAATGAAGTGAGAAGGAGAAAGTATTTCAGGCATGACAGTGATGTGGAGATTTCAAGGAGGAAATAAGGCGGACAACGGAGGAAGTTTAATAGCTGTTTCAGAAATGAGTGACACAGACTAGGATGAAGTGATTTAATATAACTGAGGGAAAGTTTGATATATAGTAAGAGAACATCATTGTAAGATTTTAACAAGAGTGCTGCAAAATGGGGTGGTGGGGGGCGGGAACCTGCTGGTGAATTAGAGGGAATCCAAGAAAGAAGTTACTGGAAGATGATCCAATGAATATGATTCAGGCTTAGGCTAAAATATTTATAGTAAAGAAGAGAAGAAGCCAATAGAAAATGTATTGGGGGGGAAATCACAGGGTGTATCCGCTGTTTCCTTAATTAAAATGAAGAGTGATGAAAGGCAGCTGAACGTTAGGGAAAAGATGGCATTGGCCACAATAATGGGAAAATTGATACAGCAGAGATAGGGAGTTAAGCAGTGCTCCCTTTTGACAGAGCTCAACTAGCAAAAAAAAGATTAACCTTACAAAAGGATTTATCATTTAAAAATATGGTAATTAGTGCTATATTCCACTTGTAAATATTCAGCCTTAGGAATTATTAAAAACATGCCTGTTATAAAACAGTGATAAGAGGAACAAAAAGCTCAAGGTTACATTTGGAATCCTAAATGTAACCAAGGAAGTTAGCATAACAGAGAAAATATTATAGGGATATTTAGAGAGATAACCTAGTTAGATGCTAAACCTTGGAAACCTGGTTCAGAAAGATTATTGAGTAGTTATTAGTCAGACCTGGTACACAATACCAGGCAAAAGAGCATTTAAAGAGAATAGGATCAGGCTTTGGGGTTTGTCAGTGAATCTTCATTTGCCTTAAAAGAGTCTCAAGGTAGTAAAATGACAAAGCATCCTTTAACATTACACTCTCATCTCCAAGTTACTGTTCAGTCCTCTCTCCCTTTTCCTCCCACACATACACTTCAAAGGAATTGATTTTTCCAATAAGAACTCTCATTCTTCATCAGTAATATGCAGTTAATCCAGGTCACTACTACCTCTTAAAAACCCTGTCTGACAACCTGGATTCTGCAGGTTTCTGACTTTCCTACTATTAAAATTTAATAACAGCTAACATTTACATAACATACTGTGTGTCACTACTGTAGATGTTCTTTGGACATTTTAATACATTAATCTTCACAGTAGTCCTATGTGGTAGGTAGTATTATTACTGTCATTTTACATATGTGAAACTGATTTGCAGACAGGTTAAACAACTTGCCCCAAATCATACAGCTAGAAAGTGTCAGGACCATGCTTCAAACCCAGATAGTCTGTGCTTTTAACCACCATCATATAGTGCTTTCCTGGGCACTGTTTCTTAATCTCCTTTGTGGATTTCTCTTAACTCAGCATACCCCTCAAATGTTGGCATTCCTCAGGGATCTTTCCTATGTTACCTTTTTCTCCTAGACTTTTTCTAGTGAATCTACTCTTGTGACTTCAATTACCATTTTTGCTGGTAATCCACAAATCTATATCTCTAGCTGAGATCATTCTTCTGAATTTCAGGCATACATTTATAACTGCCTTTGGACATCTTCCACTTGGCACATTTCAAGCACCTCAAAGTCAACATGTGTGAAATCTGCGTTCATTCTCTTTTATCCCTCTACAGTGTTCCATAATCTCAGTGAGTGACATCATTATCCATCGAGTTGGCCAAGCCAGAAATCTAAGTTTTATCCTAGACTCACTTTACCTCTCTGATATCAATCAGGTGATAAATGATCAGTGCTTGGTTTACAGCATTGATGGAAATGGTGGATTAATAACTTAAAGGCAGTTGGAGAGCCTGGCATAGTAATTGGTAACTTGAGAAACACTCTCCTGCTCCCCTTACAATGGCAGGTGGAGAGAACATGTAGACAGGTTGAGGACTATATAAAATATATAAGGAAAGCTTATAAAAATGGCTGATCTGGGGGATAGTTGAATAATGCATTTACACCAGAGGTTTGGGGAAAAATGGCTTCAGGGGACAAATGAAGGAGACAAATTATCATATTTTATCAATTCTAAGGTGTATTTTTTTTACACATTTTAACATCTTTGAAGTTAGAATGGTGGCGTCTTCAATATTTGGTGGGGTTTTTTTTTTACCTTAATGATACATAAAATAATGGCACATCTTAGAGTGGATTGCATCTTGGTTTTGATAAAATATGGTACTTTTAGTTCGGTAAGTTGACATTTGCCTATACTCTAATCACCACATTAGAAGAAGGAACGTAAGTATCTGTAATCCTTCCTTCACAAATTGTTTACAAGCGGCAGAAGTATGATATTTGCGCATGATATAGAAAGAGAAATACCAAAAGATCCTAGAATCTACTTAAATAGCTAGGATTAGTGTTAATATTGATAATATGTGGGTGATTATAGAATGTAATTGGTGATTTCTTAAGACTGGTAGATCAAGAATGGTATAGAACTGTTATCCACAAATAATATAAAATCCTCTCTGGATGTGATAACTTACTACTTCTAATAATTAAGCTCAATTTTTTTTCCCTCCAAAAGTAACTGGGATGAATGAATATTACTACTTCTATTTTGATTTAGAATTTAGTTGAATTTTGCTTTTTTTTTCTTTACAGGTAGCAGATATCAAGAGGGTTAACAATCTCATCAGTGATCAAGACTTTTTTGCCCTTAGGTCTATCAAAATTCCAGTAAAAAAGTTTAGTTCATTGACTGAAACACTTTATCCTCCAAAAGGAAGACAGACTTCACGTCCTTCATCTGTCCAGTACCTTTCAGAACAACAGGAAGTTTTGTCAGCTAATGATTTTCTTTCTTCCAGTGAGTCAGCTGGTAGCTTTTTAAAAGAAGTAGACCGAGACATAGAACAAATAGTAAAATGTACAGACACCAAAAGAGAGAACCTTAATGAGGTGGTGTCTGCCTTGACAGCACAACAAGTACGCTTTGAACCTGATAACAAAAACATTCAACGTAAGGATCCTTATTATGGAGCAGACTGGGGAATAGGGTGGTGGACAGCTGTAGTGATAATGTTGATAGTAGGCATAATAACGCCAGTATTTTATTTGCTGTATTATGAAATTTTAGCTAAAGTGGATGTTAGTCACCATTCAACAGTGGATTCTTCACATTTGCATTCAGGAGTCACACCCCCATCACAGCAGAGAGAAATGGAAAATGAAATGGCTCCAACTAAAGGAATACCCTTTGTCCCACAAGATGACCATAAGCTTTATAGTCAATATTCTCAGTTACCTGCTGCTCGACACAAAACATAGCAGTTAGTTCAGTTACAGTGTTAGCGATCACATGTGTATCTGGAATTTGGTGGGTGAATCAGTTATATTAAATAACCACTTCAAAGGCAGAATTTAGGGAGATTGAAGATGCTTTGTTTTTCACCTTTTTTTTTTTGTTTGTTTTTTGGAGCCATTTACAAATGGATTGAATATAAAATCCCTACAGTTGCTAGTTGTTGATTCTGAAAGCAGTACATCTGTATATCTCTTTTATCAATGCTTAAAGCAGAAATGAATTTAAATATGTGTCTCGGAAGTTCCTGGAAAATGCATTTTTTTCTTATTCAAGACTGGTTACGTTCAAATTTTATTTTTTAAGCAATTGTTTTTGGTTTGAGGTTATTAATAGTAAATTCATTATGCAGAATAATGATAGCATCAGATGTCTGCAACTGAAGAAAATTTATTACTAACCATCAAAATATTTAGTTGCAGAAAAGTTTGATTCTAAAATTATTTGATAGGACTTAAAATTTCATTTTGAAACTTAAGAAAAACCCCACATTAGTACATACGCTATGAAAACATAAGTAGAACAGAAAGGGGAAAGAAATGTATAATGTCTGTAATAGAAGCTGAGATATATTATTATTTTTAAGCCCCCAAATTAATGTGTTAACTGTTGGGAAGTTGCCATTTGGTCACTAGAACACTGGATTATGTCAGGACCTAAAAGTTATCTTTGTCTCTGAAAGAATGCTGCCTCTGCTTCTGTGTTTTAAGTGATTATATTTGCCTCTGATGTTTGAAAGCACTTTTGTTGTTCTTTGATGAAAAGTGTTATACATGTACAGATTAGTATTAATTAGGAAATATTTCCTTACATACTGTGATAAGTTGTTGCTGTTACATGTAATAACATGCCTTAATTACATTTAATGCCTTATAATACTTTATGTAAACTAGTACAATTTTTAGAATTAAAATTAAGCATTATTTCAGATGGTCCGATAGGATTCATAACATAGGCTGTATAAATTTGTCTCCACCTTCACTGTCAGGCACAAGTTAATGGGATAGTAACATTTTTGTTGTCTGTCTCTGAGGTCTGTTGCAGAAAAGCAAGGGTAAAGAGACCTTTTGCATTAGCAAAAACAGACAAATTGTTCTGTATATTGATCCCTTAACCTCTGTTTTTCAAAGAGAAAATGTTCAGCTTAGGTCTTTTTTCCCTGAACTAGAGCATCAAATTGGAGAAGAGAGGCCAAAGGTGTATATGGATTGGTCAAAAGAGTGCCACTTTTAAGATCTGTGTGGATCAGAGTCTGGCTAAATAAGCATTTGCATACTGATTCCATCATTTAGTTTTTAAAAGTATGTGTTTTTAAAATGCTATCAAAATGATTCATTTGGTGGAGTCTGGCTTGCCTGTTTGTGTATAATAAAGTATGTACCTTAAGATATATTATACCACCTAATTTTCTGGGCATTATTTCCTAACTTTTAATGTTTCAGCTTTTTGACCAGTCATTTTATATTTCAAACTTCAGTCTTGATACAAAGTGGGGTGAATAAATATATATGCTTAATGAGGTTTAATGTCGTTTTAGGAGCAGTGTATCATAGAAAGACAGGACAAAGATGTCAAACATTAAAGCCCTTGCATATATTAGAGGGCCTTAGACAATTACCAAAAAGTGTTAATATGGAGATTTGTAGCAAATTGATTTTTTGAGTTAACTCTATTAGTTTAAGATTTAAAAAATTGTTTTAATGTGCTTTGGGCATCTTGAGAAAAGTATGATCTTTCTAGTTTATGCTCAGTGTTAACTTGGTCAGTTTACATTGTATTTATTAAGCCTGCTGAAAATCAAGTTTCAAGAAAGAAAATAAAGATTATTTTAGGGTAGAATGGGCTAGATGTCCTTTGAAGAACTTTGTTTACATCAAATTGATGAAATTACGGAGTCAGGGATTCCTTTTTGCTAGCGGTACTTTGAAATTGTGATAGAGAAGTCTGATTTATAAAATAAGTAACTTTTTAAAAAGTAATGAGGTATACCATGTACTTGATTAGAAACCTTTTCTGTCTTGCAGAGTGTCCTATTCCTTGAAGGCAGTATAACATATCCTTATGACACAGGCAGTTTCCTTTGTCCATATATTTGAATTACATTGGGCTGGCCAAAAAGTTTGTTTGGATTTTTCCATAACATTTTACAGAAAAAACAGAGGGAACTTTTTGGCCAACCCAATATATTTTTTTACTTAATTGAATATAATTTGAATTATATATAATTCTATATATATGTATAACATATATAGAATTCTGTTATATATATAGAATTCTAGATTCTAATCCTTAAATGTCATTTGTAAAAGAAAAATTTCTTAAGCATTTAATAGATTTAGAATAATTTTAGCTTTTAAAAAGTACTAATAAAAAAAAAAAAAAAAAAAAAGTACTAATACATCAAAATTTGTAACAAATGCAGATTACTTTGTAAAACTTAATAAAACGAAAAGTTATTTGATTTTGTGGCTTTTGTGTTGAAACCCTTATTTGAATTTACTTTGAGGCTTTACATTAGAAGATATATACACAAACACACACATACATGCAGATGTAAAAGTAATGGAACTGTGAATCACTGCATTTGATTCACTTAAAAAGTTGGAGTTGCAAGTGAAGAAAAACCTATTTTTAAAAAGGGCAGATTCTTAAAGTCTGGGTACAAATGGTTAAGATTGTTTCAAACTAATGGATGCCATTTAAATTAAATATTTTTTGCCATCGTATTTCTAGAAAATTATAGGATTCATGTCCCCAAAAGATATATTAAGATCAGTTATAGAGTCTGGTGGCCACGTCAAGAATTAGAAGACAGTAATGTTAAATTAATTTCTCCAAAGACTTTTTGTTTTTTAAAGCTTATCTTTTTCTGGACTCTACTTACTTGTTCAGTGGCCTGAAGAGTTCTTGAAATGAACCATTATTTAGTCATTAGTTCTTTTTAAAGTACTACAAAAATTACCTACTTGGGAATATGAAGGATACAGTTAGAGTTTTAGAAATATCGTGAAACAAAGATCCAGTCAAAGTGTTACAGAGTAAAGGTGTAGTTTTTAGGAGTCTGTATTTAAATGGTACATTATGATGGGAATCATTCTTATTTTGAATTACAAAGTTGCTCAGGAAATCAGTATTTTCTTCCAAGTATGTGCATATTGCACTGTTAGATCATAGAAATCTGATGCTTTATTTAATTCTTTTTATGTATGCAAATTATATAAGTCTTTTGTATAATGTATTTTATACAGATGCAGCATGGAATTGTAGAATGTTATGTTAGCATGTACATCTGTAAAACTGGTTTTTAAAACTTCTTGCCCCTCATTTTTCATATTTTAAAAGATCTGCAAAATGTAATAAAGTTTCTATTTTATTATTCAATCGAAAATGGAATCTGGTTAATTTAATTGAATAAAGCAAACCTTTTCTCCTCCTCTAACTATTAGAGATACTATGTAAGATAGACTGAATTGCCAAAGATTTACCAATTCAGATTCCCCCTTGTTATACTGAAAAAATACACTGGATTATTTATAGTACATAAGTGAAAGGAAATGAAAAAAATATCAGATGAATGTTATTTGTGGGGGGATCTCTGATCTCATGGAAGAAGGCCTCATGAGACCTGGTCCACATCTTCTTGGCAAGTTACAGATTGGTTGTGTGACAATATGCTCTATTTATATGTAAATTTTATTATCACGGAAACAACCTTTCCATTTCAAAATATTAATTTTTTAAAATACCAGTAGCAAAAAGAATTGAGACAGTTATTTGGAGTTTTTATTTATTTAATGGAGAATTTGTGGTGTAATCCTTGTTTTCTCCATTTTTAAAACTATCTTGATCTTAAAATTGTATTTACAGTTTTTCTTATAAGAAGTTTTTACTAACTTAAGAGCATTTAACCAAATTAAGGAAAGCCACTGATACTGTACAACTGAAGGTAGTGGGGAAGGAAAGGTTAACAAGGTCATCTGAGTTTCTTAGCATTCTCTCAATATCCAAATCTCTTAGTTTGTTATCACAACTTTAATCACCTAGAGTTTTGTTGTTGATGGTGGTTTGTTCAAGAACATTTGATACTGGCATCCCTGCTCAATAAATACACAGTTATTTTACTAGGTAAAATAAGTATTAACAAATTAGTTTTCTCTATCGAATATATTTCAGCAGGGTCAAAGAAAACAATATAAAACAAAAGGATACTATTGTAAGAATTTAATGTGTAAACAATACAGAAAAATAAGCATTAGCGCAACAAAACAGCCTTGCATCTTATATAGAAATTTTAAAGATACTTTACCAACAAGTAGGAGGTTAATCTCTGTATTAAAGCTTGCCTTCTTATAGAATAATTTAGCATTCTCTGAGATTTTAAGCCAGAAAAACAAGATTCATGCTGGTAAAGCAACCTGCAAATACTTTCTGCCTGTTCTCACAATTAGTCTACTTTAAACATAAGATCTTCCAAAGGAGGAAGACGACGCACTTAACAGAGGTGGCTGGGGCCTTCCCAGGAAATCCTTGCCCATAGGAGATGCTTTACCATCTGCAGGACTAAAATGGTGACAACAAATTGAAAGCCAGGGAAAGATTCCTGTATCTTTGGTGTATTTGCCCAATTTAAGTGTTATCTTCAGATGTGTAATAAAGCAAGTAAACAGAACCATAAAGATAAGCTTTCTATAAATTAAATGGTATTTGGCTATAATACTAAGGAGGTGAGAGATTAAGAAACTTCTGTTAATTATCAATCCTAAATGATTACTTGCCCATTACAACTGAAAACTGAGGATTCTACTCTAAGAAGTAGAATTGCTAATACTAGCAATTACTAATCTACTAATTAGTAGATTGCTAATACTTTAGAGTGTTTTATTCATGTTTTCCATTTAGAATCTTTAAAATTATTGATAAGCTCCTTTAAATAAGAAATCACATAGGATCAGCACAATACTGAACTAATAATGGCCCTCACACACATACTGAATTATCTGAGAAATATTACAATTGAAAGTGGTCTTTTTCCTGAGAAAGCCATGTCACAAAATGGCACAAGACAATACACATTTTCTCCAATTTTTCCCACCAGAAAATAAGATGGGAAAATCAGATTATAATATATTTTATGAGGAAAACATGTTTGTTTCTCAAAACTGTTTTCAATCACTTTACCATCTACAATTTTTTAAAGGGTGAGAACTAAATTTAAATTAAGAATGATCATTTCTACAAGGTGAGAGAATGAATACATATGGTAAACTTTGGTTAGAGTTTAAACAATTTTTATAGAAAATTGTTCACAAGTGAAGAAACTAAGGCACAGAAAACTTAAGCTCAATTTCAAGGTTGAGTTTAATAGTAAAGGTAGAAATAGAATCTAGGGCTCTTGATTCTCAGGTTAGAGGGTAATGGGTGGTATCTTCCCAAGAGGGAAAAATTTATTTCTTTTGGTGGGTAATGTTCATAAATCATTTTAAAAATATATGAATTTCCTTGAAAATCTTTGGCATATGTGAGTCATTGGAGGCTGAAGTTTATAGATATCCTCTCCCCCACCCCAATACAAAAAGGCAGGGGAGCTAGTTTTTAAATGAATCAAAAAAGATTAATCTAAATTTCAAAGTGACCTGAGTTTCATTCTGCATTGTTATATAAATCAATTGGAGAGCTCAGTCCTGTGAAACGTAACAGAGGCCACTACACCTCACAGATTACACATACATGCATACTGCAATGAGATTTATATGACTAGAATTTAGTCAACATTTTTATAAAGTACAAAATTAAATCTCAGTCTAATTTTTCATAAGCCAATGACTCAGAGATATCAAACTTGTTACAGTGGGATGATTCATTCATATATTGTATGGTATGAAGTTAGCCTCCAATTCAGGTATTTTTAATATGCATCCCAGGCCTTTGTATTGGTTGAGATGTAAGCTGTGAAATTTACTTAGCTCAGATAGGCATTTTTCCCTGTGCATGTGTTTCCAATCACGAAATTTTTAATCTCATAAAATGTGCACTTGTAAGAGCTCAGGTAGGTTTATGTAGTCATAATATAGTAGCACAGAACATAACATGTAAAAGTAAAAAATAAAATTATTTTCAAGTTTCTTTGTATTTAAAGTGCTCCATGTGCAGTATTAAACCAACTTTCAGATTATTGAAATCCGTTATGATGACTAGTAGTTTTAGAAAAGATCAGCAGTTAAACAAGAAAAAATTATTTAAGTATGAATACATAGATTAAAAGATGCAAAAACTCTTTAGGTACATTCTAATCCAAATAATACCAAAAAAAAAAAAATCCACTTGAATACATTAGAGAGATGACAGAGGTGTTGAGAAGGAATGTCAGAGACTAATTGGTAAGGTAACTAGTATGTAAACTCAAAGTGGTTCTGAATATTTTGGTAACAAGTATCTTTCCAACAAAACAGGAACAAAAATAAAATACTCATTCCTTATCAGAAATAAAATAGAAAACAAGTCTGTTCAAATGTTCAGAAGCTGTATCGTAAAAATATTTTTTGAGAAATTTCATAGCTAATAGGTTGCTTCATCCATGTTGTCATCACTGTCTGCACCAAAATCATCTCCATCTTCAAAGTAGGAATTAATGTAGTCATTTTCCTAAGTGAAATGATATATTCCTCAGTAAACATTAAAAGTATGAGTAGTAACATTGAAGAACATAATGTAGGCTGTCCCTTTAATATAAGTTTATAAAATATCAAAGTTAGGTAATTAGAAAATATGCCAGGCTTAAAAGAAGTCTCTGTTATTTCAATGCTTGAAACACACATTAACTTTCACATATCTAACTGTGCTTTCTTCCTCAAGACCACCATCTCCTACTATTCTCAGGCACCAACCAGCTGAGAGAACATAAACGGATGCCCATTACACCTTAATAGGATTATACATCTCATTCATTATACCTTAGTGGGATGATACATGGTTTAGTTAGTTAAACCACTAAACACTTACTGCAAACAAATGTACAAACACTCAAGAAACGAGGCCAATTTATACTAACATTCATTCGACTACACCAGAACTGAGGTTTCCAGTTACAATGCATAGCTGAGCATAAGCAGAGTGATTTT